AATTTCCATCGCTTCGCCGATCATTAAAAGGCTAAAGATTAAATGTTTACAAATAAGTGATTTTATGTTTATTATTGCCAGGAGTTGAGTGATGGGTTCATTTTTTTTAAGTAGCGCATTTTGATTATTAAATTTAAAATATTTCTAGTGGGAATTGCTGATTTATTGTTTGAAAAGTGCTGAACATAATAGAAGAGCTGTTCATTTTGATTGGAAAAGGGGAGCTAGCACTGAGGGTTTGGGAAGAAATAATCTTCAAAACTTCTAAAAATTTGAACACCATATTTGGTCGATTTGTAATTGCCACATCTGAAGAAGAATTTCTGCAACTGTTAAATTGCTGCTTTAGTAGTGAATGTGATAAACTGAGAAATTTCTTTTCGTAGTGTTAGTGAGTTTCGTCAAGTTTAATAGACAGTGCACTCACACTGTGCAATTCCCGTTTTTGATATTGGTGAACTGAGAGGCTTTTTCTTGGTGTAGGTGAATTTCGTCAAGTTTCATTAAGGCTGGTAGCAGTTTTCGAATTGTCAAATTAGTATTACCGTGTGCTAAGAATAAGAGCTTTATAATGAGTACAAAACTTTATGAAGATATTAAAATATTACTCAAAAAAGAATTTAGTGCTTTTAGTCAAGAATTAAATGTCAATTTAGAAGAAAGATTGCAGAAAAATAAAGAAGAAATTGTCCAAGAGGTAAATAAAGGTATCGAGCAAGCCAATACCGGAATAAAACAGTTGGAGTTAGAAGTTGCAACACTGAAAAACAACATAGCCGAATTAGTAAAAGATAAAGTGACAAGGAAGATATTGCCATCAAATTTATAAAAGAGTCGCTCAAGGTACCGGTAACGTTAACTGATATTAACTACGCCAGAAGAATAGGTCACAAACCTGAAGGCGTTGGGTATAACAGGCCAATCCTTGTAGCCTTAGTTTCCCAACTAAAAAAACAAGAAATCTTTAATAACATCAAGCAATTAGAAGGTAGCAAATACTATATTAAAGGTGATTATACATTCAAACAAAGATCCAAAAGGGCTCACTTAATCAAAATAAAAGCCGAATTAGAAAAAAAAGGCAAAAAAGTTGAACTAAAACAAGGCAAATTGGTTGTAGATGCTGTTGCTGAAACAACTTCTAATCCAGAGAACCAGAAAAGAAACAGATCTACGGACGAATCACCTGAGGCCGAGGTTAAAAAACAGAAGAGCAGAGGCCAAAGCAACTCAGCGACCCAAAACTCGACTATTGGAGATTCTGAACATAGTGAAATATACGACATAGCTTAGTACAACGTTCTGAATATTTGCCGATTATTGATAACAACACGGATTGTAATTGGACTGGACTCGATTAACTAATTAGGAAAATTACTTAAAGGAGAAAGAGGAAGGCAACGGGAAACCACCTCTTTATATATATCTATCCCTAGTAAAATAGCATCAGAATTAAACAACACGCACATCAACATGCAAAGCACACGCAATATAGATATGCAGGATATAACAAACACGGTAGAAATAATAAACACAAATACAGCACAAATAAATACAAACTTCAACAACGGACTGAAGATAGCAACATGGAATGTTCGTAGTTTGAGACAAGATGGAAAACTACAGAACTTGGAAATCGAGAAGGAAAGGCTGGATTTAGATATAGTCGGGGTAAGCGAAGTACACTGGAAAAACAGCGGCGAGATCAATACGGAAAACAACTACTTCCTATACTCAGGTACTCAAGAAGACGAACATTGCAGGAAAGGGGTTGGATTTTTGCTAAGCAAGAAACTAAAAAAGTCACTCAGCAATATCGTCCACAAATCCGAGAGAATAATGATGATACAATTAAAAACCAAGGAAAATTTCATTAACCTCGTCCAGGTATATGCTCCAACGGCAGATAGTACAGATGAGGAATGTGAAGAATTCTATATCGAAATTGAAGTTCTACTAAAAAACGTCAAAAGAGAGCATGTTACGTTAATCATGGGCGATTTCAACGCCAAAGTAGGAAAAGAGCAAGTTGAAAATGTAACTGGCGAATATGGACTTGGAGTAAGAAATAATAGGGGCATGAGATTAGTCGAATTTTGCATAGACAATAATTTGTGTATCACCAATACTCTTTTTCAAATGCCAAAACGGAGACTTTACACTTGGACATCCCCCAGAAGCAACAACGAAAGAACTATAAGAAACCAGATCGATTATATACTTATCAACACACGTTTTAAAAATTGTATTAAAGTGGCCAAAACATACCCAGGAGCTGACATAGCATCGGATCACACTCTTTTAATGGTGAAAATAAAAATAACTCTTAAAAAGTTGTGCCGGAGAAAAGTCAAGCAGAAAATGAACTTCACCAAATTGGCGGATCCAGAAATAAAAAACAGAGTTTGTCAAAAAATAAAGGACTCACAGATACAAATTCGTAGTTCTTTCATATACGAAGAGAATGCAAACCGAAAATGGGAGATTTTCAAAAAACCTTTGGTTGAAGTATCAACGATGTTAAAAGAATGCAACAACAGTGTGAAAAAGGAGGAATGGATGACAAACGTGATCCTCAGACTATTTGATGAAAGACGAAAGTGTAAGAACATCAACCCGGAGAAGTACAAGGAACTTAACATAGCAGTAAGAACAGAAATAAGGCAAGCGAAAAACAAGCTGTGGGAAGCACAATGTAAAGAAATAGAAGAGCTAAGCGAGAAACATGACCATTTCCACATGCACAAAAAAATCAAAATGGTAACTAATTCAGCAAGGAAAAAGCATCATGGTACCTTGGTAGACAATCATGGAAATATACTCACCAACCCAGCTGAGAAATTGAATTTATGGAAACAGTATGTTACCGAACTGTTCAACGACAACAGAACAGATATAGAAATAGATTCCGTTTCAGAAGGCCCGTCTATATTAGAATCTGAAGTCCGTGCAGTTATTCAAAAATCTAGAAATCGCCTTGCTACGGGTCCTGATGAGATTCCAAACGAGTTACTGAAGTTGCTGGACGAGGAAGGTACGAAAATGTTGACAGAGTTGTTCAACAAAATTTATAACTCTGGAATAATCCCGTCGAAATGGTTAAGATCTACCTTCATCACTCTACCCAAGAAGACAAAAGCAAAAACGTGCAGTGATTATCGCATGATTAGCCTGATGAGCCATACCCTGAAATTGTTTTTGAAAATCATACATGAGCGGAACTACAGGAAACTGGAATGCGACATTAGCGAGACGCAATTTGGTTTCAGAAATAGTTCGGGCACCAGAGACGCTTTGTTCATGCTAAACACGTTACTGCAAAGATGTAATGACGTAAATCTACCTGTACATAGCTGCTTTATTGACTTCGAAAAGGCTTTTAACAAGGTGAACCACACCAAGCTGATAGAAATATTAAACCAAAAACAAATCGACTCGAAAGATATAAGAATAATCAAAAACCTATACTGGGACCAAATAGCAGACATTAGAATCGAGGATGGGATCGAACAAAATATCAGCATTAAAAAAGGCGTAAGACAGGGCTGTATTTTCTCACCTCTATTGTTCAATGTATATGCAGAGTCAGTCTTTAATGAAACTCTAAATGATTTGAACTTGGGCATAAAGGTAAACGGTGAGACTATCAACAACTTAAGGTTTGCGGATGATGCAGTACTATTTGCCGAGTCGGCACCTGATTTACAGATATTGCTTACAAAATTGGACGAAAAATGCATCAAATATGGCCTCAGTATAAATGTAAAGAAAACCAAGTACATGGTAATAGGTAACTCTTCAAACTTAAATAACACCATAAAACTGCGCAGTAAAAATATTGACCGAGTAAATCAAATAAAATATCTCGGTACGATAATTAATTGCAATATTCAAAATAGTAATGAAATCAATGCAAGAATCGAGCAGGCGAGATGCACTTTCAGAAAAATGCAAAATATCTTTTGCAAGAACAATATAAACTTGGCGCTGAAAATGAGAATTTTAAAATGTTATGTTTGGTCAACTTTATTGTACGGTGTAGAAACCTGGACGCTAACCAGAAAAGAAGAAAAAAGAATAGAAGCCTTCGAAATGTGGTGTTTCAGGCGTATATTAAAAGTAAAATGGTCGGACAGAGTTACCAATGTGTCTATCCTGCAAAGAATGAACACGTTGCCTCAATTACTATACATAGTGAAAAGTCGGAAATTAAGCTATTTGGGTCATATAATGAGAAATGCTACCAAGTACATATTGCTCCAATTAGTTCTACAGGGTAAAATTAATGGTAAGAGAAGTAGAGGCCGCAGAAGAACTTCATGGTTGTGCAATTTGGTTTCATGTTTCAATACTACACCAAACAGGCTACTGAGGGATGTACAATCAAGATCGAAAGTCAAGATGATGCTAACTAACCTTCGAAACGGAGAAGCACTATAAGAAGAAGATTGCCAGCACACTTTTTAAAATGATGGCGCTTCAAAAATGTAGATAAACCAAAAAATATGTATATTTGATCAACATCTTAGTTCATATTATTCGAGCCAAATGTTATAATCATAGTTAATTAATTTCCGATAGTCGAAAAACCTGGAAAATTTAACATTAACCAAAAAAATCTGTTTAACTTACCAAGATGTTAATATTTTAATTAGATATTAACAATTCAAAACTGCTTTGTCTACCCAGTCTATGCGATTTGAAAACCTTCACAAACGCATTATTGTTAAAACGAGTTCAATAAAATCAAAAACAAAGAAATTCATGTAATATTTAAAATTGATTAAGATTAGAGTTGTATGCATACTAAAATTCTAATCAAGTGTTGACAGTATTTAAAATATGAAAAATAATATAATTAAAATAAATTTTAGGACAGAGGAACTGAAAAACTAAGCAAAAATCCTTTTCATATAACAAAAGCAAATCAAAATATACTTTTTCCAAAAAGATTAATGTTATATTTACTTATTATTTAAAGGAAAAGAAGATTCACTTACTTTAGAATGGTTCAATGCTGCTTTTAAGTAGTTTTCTCTTGCCACGGTTTTGTAATAATTATTAAATGCAACAATATATTCATTTTGAACAACTTTGGTCATAAATTTTATTGTAACACGATGATCTGAAAAGACTGAATCATTGCATTTCTTATGCAGTCCAAAGTTTTGTGATATGTAATCTTCATTTTGATAGCTATTTGGGTTTGCCGCTGTTTCTGTATTTATATTGGCTAAAGACGAAATAGCTGGCGTCGTTAACAATAATGTGATTAAAGCTAAACGACATTTCACCAAAAAAAACATCACGACATGTACGTATTCAATTTAATAATAAATTAAAGTAGTGATTATATTTTCCTTAGTCATAACAACTATTCCCAAAATTTTTTAATTTTCTTTAAAAATTTTGTTTGGAAAATGTTAACACTGCAAATTTTAGTAGGATTTTGTTACATTTATAATTGTTTATTTACTCCGGATTGAAGGTACTCGTGTTTTTCTAATTACTCGTGTTTTTCTAATTTAATGCAATTCAAATACAGATGAACACATTAACTTCTACGCTTTTGATATTTTTGCGCTACCACTTTTATTTTATTTACTAAGTTTTTTTTTGTTCGATTACGCTCCGTATATCAATAAAAATTTGCTTAAATCTAACTGTCAAATCTAACAACTGTCAAATCTCACAATCTAACTGTAAAATCAAATGTCAACATATTAAGTTTTATATAATACATATTTTACACTAGATATTTTTGTATTCTTTGCTTGACATATCCAAAATATCAAAGCATAGAGCAGGTATGTCAAACTCATTTATATTCACGGGCTATTTTAGTGTTGTCGCACATTGCTTGGGGCCGCACAATAAAAAAACTTGAACTACTAAATTATACTCAAAATTTGTATTATCAACACAAAGAAATATAAAACGTACAAATAATACAGTAATGCAAAAAAAAAATAAAATCATTTTTTTAAAGAAATTTAGCAACGTTTTTGTGTTACTAAATCATCGAAATTTGGTTGAATTTAATTTGCAGTTGTAATTTTTAATATCTTCAATATTAGTCAAACATGTTGATCTGTTAATCTTCTTTCAGGCATTTTATTATTTTTTCATATTGAAAATAATTATTCACACAAAAATGTGCTTCCGAACATTGCAAAAACACGCCTAATTTACCCAGCATTTACACATACAAGTTACTTGCAAGCAAGTTTGTATAATATTAATTGTCAATTAGTTTTTTGAAATGTCAAATTACTTGCTATTATGACGTAGGCGTTTAGCAAGTTAATTTTTGAAAATGTCTTTGAGAAGAAAACAACTAGCAATGTATATAATTGTTTATAAATTTTAGAAACCATAAGTTTGCTAAGTTTAATTTTTTCAAAACAAAATTCAAAAATTTTAAATTAAAAAAAAAAAAATCAAAACAACAAATTTTTTTTTGTGAATTTCTCAATATGTCAAATTACTTGCTCAAATTACTGGCAGCAAAATTTTCTTGCAAGTTGAACTGCAAGTAAACAAGCAAGTAGAAATATTTCAATGTGTTAGTAAAATTTTTGTATGTATTGCAACTTTCTTGCAAGTAACTTGTACGTGTAAATGATGGGTGAATTATAGGTAAATAATTATAAAAATTAATAATTTCCCCTTCTCTAATTGTTTTAATAAACAATCGCACAATATTTCGATTTAAAGTGTTGCAATATCAACAGAAAATGGAAAAAGTAAATAGGTTAAATTCAGTTTGACATCTATTAAAGTCTAAAAATCTTTCAAACTAGGTTTTTAATAATTTATTCTAATTAGAATATTCGGAAAATTTCAAATTTACTTAACTGGTATACTGCTTAATAGTATAAGAAAATTAAACTGGTTCAAATATATAAGTATTAGATTTATAAAAATATATATTTTTTCATTTTAAATATCTGTAAAAAAAAAACAAATTTAAAAAAACTATTATTTTTTTTTCTCTTTGAATAAATTTATTTAATGAATTATAAAATATAAATTTTGGTAAAATATTTGAAACGCAAACTTCTTCATTAATAATTCCAATCCACTTTCTTTTCATTCCATTATTTCTAGGAAAACTGTAATTATATAAAAAAAGACCAATTGAAAATATTGTATGTATGCTATATTTTATCAAACACACACTAATTTTGCTTAGAAAAAAATCCGGTGTTGGTAAAATTATGTCATTCAAAGTAATTTTATTTTAAAAGAAAACAAAAACAGATGTTTTCACTGCAAAATTAAAAACTTAATAAAATTATGAATTAATCAAAGCACTGTTGAATAAATATCTTTTTAATTATTGAAATGAATAATATTAACATGTATATATTGTAATAAAACTATTTGTTTTTAAAAATGGGAATAACAATTTAGAGCTACACACCTTTTTTTTCTTCGACAGATTTTCATTTGTAATTTTTTTATAAGTTTTTATCAACACTTATTATTATATAAGTTATAATTTTTTATTTACAAACTGTACAAATTTTTTAAAAAAAATTTAATGAATAGTCTTTTATGTAGCGGCGCGTAATTTTCTAAAAAAAAAACAACAGCATTTTGCATTTAATGTTAATTTCAGTTTGACAATGTTGGAAACGAAGAAAGAGACTTACCTGAAGTTTTTGGCTTCACTAAAATTTAATTGACTTTTACATACCTTTGAAAATCTTCGCAAGCGTTCGTGAAATAAGCTGACAATTGACTTGACGAGGGGTTACTGAAATTTGATGGGCCCTGTTATAATACATAAGTTTTCGCAGAGGGCGGATGACCCAGCTTCATTTGTTATTGTTTTGAATATTATGTTTTGTCAGCAAGCTTTAAAAAAATATATGTACATACAGAATTTATGTACGTATGTACTTAATATTTTATTTTTGTTGTTCCAAGCGGAAAACTGTAAAATGTTAAATTTTAATACATCAATATTTACATACACATATTTGAATAAAATTGTTAGTATGTTATTATTTTAAATTTTTATTTCTAATTATTCGAACGAAAAATTTTAAAATGTTCAATTCTAATTCTGTTCGCGAATAATTGCTAACACTTTCAAGAATTTAAATAAAAGATAAATTTTTCTTTTCCTTTTTTATAATTATCAGTTTATTGTAGAAAGCACCAAATCAAAAAAAACCATGTACTTTTTTTTCTTTAAAAAATTTACAAAATAAATATCTTTATATATACATTATATTTTCCTTTTCTTCAATTTTTTCTTTATTCAAAAAAATTTCACAATACAGATTTTTACAAATGTTATATATAAGGATGAAATTATATGATCCAAAAAAATGATATTTGTTTAACAATACTTTTTTCTTGGTTTAAATTATACAATTCAAAAAATTATTTTTATTTCGACAAAAAATTCATAACTCGAAAGTCGATATGTTGCGGTTAGTGAACTTCTATTAGTAGTGCTATTGAGCAAACGGTGAAGTTGTTCCTAGCCGGTCCCACTTTTCGGTTGTTAACGTTTTCTTCTTTTCTTTTATATAGATCATATGGTATAGTTCAGCGAACCTGTAATGCAATGTATCATTCTTATATACATCGCAAAACATATTGTTGTTGTAAAATTCTACGTTTCTTCTTTTCTATTTTATGCTATTTTCTCCTTCCATTGTCCATTTCATTCACCTTCTATTTCTTTTCTTACTCCATTACACGTCTATCAATAGCTGACTATAACTCTAAACAAACTCGTCTATGATCATAAGTGACAGTTGGCAGCATTGAAATATAATGTTTGTGCAGAAATGATCGCTGCAAACTGTCACCCACCAGTTTTATTTATATTATGATGTGAAGTACAAATTTTTAAAGAAAGAAAATCAAAATTTTACACAAAAAAAAAACGGAGATTTAAAGGAGCCGGAGCCCAAAAAGGAAATGCAGCAATGGAAGGAAAAAACGATGGAGGAATGAAGAGCAACCAAAAAGTGCTGGACCGGCACTTGAAGATCCCATATGGACTGGTAGATGCATAGCTGGAAGACATTGCAAATTCATGTAAGTATTTTATTGCAAATAATTATGTTAAATCCAATATATTCAATTTTAGGTGAAGAACAAAAACCCGCTGAGTGGATTACACTGGATTATAGCAAATTTAGATAAGTATCAAAAATTTTCCTTTATATCAAGTAGTGTTTCTTCGTGGTTTTTTTTTGTTGTTTTTTTTTTAGGAAAGGAGAAAAATTAACTGTGACGTCATGACGGAATATTCTCCCGGCCTTGTCATCCATGTTGAAAGATGACAAAACAGTGACGTGCTGATGGGTTGCTGGAGCATAAAAGGTGTGTTGCTGGTGAACAACGATATTGATACCGAATTAGCCATATTGTGATGATAATTGGTAAGTTTTCAAGTTTCGATTAAACGTTCCAAATGCAAGTTGTACCCATCACTAAAGTCATGTTCTGTTAGGTCTTCACCTGTAACGAGAAGAGCAGAGGGATAGAAGGAAGAAGTTATAGCGCTTTATCTCGCTTTCCGGAATTCAGGAAGTGGGAATTAGGATAAAGAAAAAAAATCTTTTAGTAATAAGTTAACTAACAAATTAATTTAAGTGTTACTAATTTTAAATTTTAAGTTAATTTTAAGCGTAGGTTAGAAATATTTGTATTAGGTGCCTCTACTCCTTTTTTTTTACGTTAAGTAGCGCAAGTTAGGTTTTATTAGGTAGTGCGATGTTAGGTGCAATTCGGTAACGTTAGTTTGCGCGATTTGCTCCCGTTTTTTTTTTTTTTTTTTGTTTTATTGCGTATTAAGTGTAGTGCCAGTTGCGTACGATTAGATAACGATACGTTACGCGATTTTTTTTTTTGTTTCTCAAAAATGCGATTAATCGGTCTCGATTGATTGTGTTTCGGTTTCATCATAATTTTCCATCGTATCTACTAGTAGTAAGCATATATTTGCAATCGAGCGCTTCAACATATTATCCTTCATTTTTAACGTAACAACTCGAACAAGTCCATCAGGACCAGGATGAATCTCTGTTATTCGACCCATCAACCATCTGCTTGGTGGCAACTTCTCGTCCCTGAGTAAAACCAAATCAGAAATTTTCATGTTGTCAGTTCTTTTAGTCCATTTTGGACGCTGCTGCAATCGGTATAGGTATTCTTTATTCCAACGTGTCCAATAGGTTTGATGTAATTTTTGTAATAGTTGCCATCTGTTTAATCTATTTTCATTTAAATCCAGCAATGAAGGTTCAGGTGGTGTAATAATTACATCACCAGTCAGGAAATGCCCAGGTGTTAGGGCCGTGCAATCGTCTGGATTTCTGCTAATTTCACAAAGAGGTCTAGAGTTTAGGCAAGCCTCAATCTGAATCAGGACCGTTGAAAACTCCTCATATGTCAACTTCGCATTTCCGAGTATCTTTTTAAGATGCTGCTTTGTAGAGTTGTCGAATTTGATCCCGTGCACCAATGATCCAAAACTTTCTATTTATTACGTTGAGCATAAGTTGAGCACCACCATGTAAAGTTTCGCGATGAATTTTTTCTAAAAGCAGTCGCACAAAATGGCTTCTATCGGGCAATATAATCGGAAATTTCTCATCGTAATTCAAATCTGCGTGTCGCAATCTGCTACCCATTCTCAATATTCCATTTTGATCCAGAAAAGGATTAAGCCTCGTTAAACGACTGTTTGCATGAATAAGTTTCTTTTTCCGCAATTGTGTCACTTCTTGTAAAAAATGTTTATGTTGAATATATATGAATGTATTGCAACTTAGACTCCTTTTGGTTACTTTGGCGATGAATCTTTTGATGTAACTCGTCACATTGATGAGTTTCGTAAATGATGAATATCGCGTTTCCAATTCGTGAATCTCGTTGCATTCTTTATCATTTATGATCGTGTTGTGACATAGAGTTGATTTCCGTACCTCGCTGTCTGTATCTTGGAGTAGTATTTTAATTGGCCAGTGTGACTCTGATTTCTGTAACCATTTTGGGCCGTTCCACCACATTTTGAAGTTTATAAGATCTGGTGGATGCATTCCCCGTGAAGCACAATCTGCTGGGTTTTCCTTTGAGGGTACATGACGCCATATGTTTTTGCCTAGTGTGTGATGTATATCAGCGGTCCGATATGCTACAAACGTTGTCCATTTGCTCGGGTGAGCCCCCAACCAAGCCAACACAATCTCTGAATCTGTCCAAGCTTGCACCTTCGATATATTTTGAATTTTCAATACTCGCTGGACATATTTCATAAGTTTCGCCAATAATGCTGCGCCGCTCAACTCTAGTCTTATCAAAGATATTGTTTTTATCGGAGCCACCTTTGATTTTGCAGTTAACATACAAGTATTTCGGCCTCCCTTTTCGTCTATGACAACCAGGTAGACCACCGCAGCATACGCCTTTATCGAGGCATCACAAAATCCATGTAGTTCTATTTTATTTGCCGATGTTGAATAGTAGAACCACCTGTTTATACGTAGTGCTTCCAGATGAACAAGAGTCTTCCTGTAAATCTGCCATTCATCGTGCAAGCTCCTTTCTACGTCATCATCCCAGCCTGAACCTAAAAGCCATAATTTTTGTATCATTATCTTAGCTATAATGATACAAGGTGCCAACCAGCCGAGAGGATCGAATAGTTTTGAAACCTCCGACAATATTGTTCGCTTTGTCCATTTCCGTGAATCATTTTCTAGTAGGGAAATTTTATACGAAAATTGGTCGTTTGCTGGATCCCATTGTATGCCTAATGTTTTGAATATTTCAGCTTCTTCAATTTTTAAAGGCCAATTGATTTCTCGATGTTCTTGTGGAAGGGCTTCTAATAGCTCAGCTGCGTTTGATGACCACTTGCGCAATGAGAGTCCGCCGGAAGCCATCATGTCCAATAATTGTTTTTGCATTTCCAATGCCTTTTCGATAGAATTCGCACCCGACAGCAGATAATCCACATAAAATGAATCCAACGTTATTCTTGATGCAATAGGATAGTTTATCTTTTCATCTATCGCCAACTGTTTTAATACTCGTGTTGCTAGAAACGGTGCTGATTTTGTACCAAATGTTACTGTAGTTAATTTGTAGTCCCGAATTGATTGACTCGGAGAAGCTCTCCAGACTAATCTTTGACAATCGGCATGTTGCGGTGCGATTCGGATTTGCCTATACATCTTCTCCAAATCTGCTGTAAATGCAATTTTATATTTTCGAAAACGTAATAGAAGAGTAGATAAATCATCTTGTATGACCGGGCCCTTTAATGTTTTGTCATTTAATGATGAACCATTTGAAGTAGGCCGTGATGCATCAAAAACCACTCGTAGTTTTGTAGTTGAGCTACTTTCCTTTATGACGCCGTGATGTTCGAGATGATTTGTTGTCGTTGATTTTTTAATTCCATTGAATTCACTTGCTCCATATGGTTCATCTCTAAATATTCAGCTATGCACTTGTTGCAGTTGTCTTTCAATACCTCATTTTTTGAAAATTGCTTCTCCATACCGAAAAGCCTGACAATCGCAATTTATCTTGAACTTCCGAGTGATATGGGACGCTCATCTGGTATAAAAGGTAACTTAACCTGATATAGCGTCCATCCTCAAGTCTACGAAATGTTTCAGAAAAATGACTTTCACACAATAATTCCTTCTCTGTAAATATTGTTTGTTCCGGTACTTCTTCTAACTCCCAGAACCTTCTGATACTATCATCTAAATCGGATTGGATGTGGAACTTCTCTATTGATGTCGTGTTGACACTTTGTTGATCGACATTGCCCGTTATGATCCATCCAAAAATAGTTTTTTGAGCAATTGGTGCACCAGGGGGACCCTTTCTTAGTCCCTCCAAAATAATTTGGCCAAAAATGTCTGCTCCGATGAGTACATCTATTTTTCCCACCGCGAAATAACTTGGATCAGCTAGGATCAATCCGTCTATGTGTGACCACTCCTTGGTTTGAATATTACGCTCTGGTAGCAAGTTGGTCAGTTTCTTGAGAACCAATGCCGAAGTTTCTTGAGCACCTGCTTGGAATCCCCTAGATCTCGTATGATGACATCCACTTTTGCTAATGATTAGCCGATGTTGCTTTCTGATACACCGTGTATATTTGTTATTGTCCTAGGATCGATTAAAGCTCTCGCCCTCTGATAGCGTCCCGTTGCTGGAGATACTATTTTAATGCACGCAGTGGCCAGTAGAACCTGTCGTGTGTGTGCATCCGATGTGCCGCTAGTGTGAACATGGCTGTTGCTGCCGGATACGAATGCTGGCGCCGATGTCGAAATTTCACCCGCCGTGGTTGGAGGTGACGGATCATGTGAGACGTAGTGCGCACATACTTGTGACGCGACTGCGGTCTGCTGCTGTCGCCGTGATAGGCCTCGATCCCCAATTTCTTCGTTGTCCCTATGCAATAGGGTATGATGTCGTTGATGACATTTAAAACAACTCTGTTGACTAGGGCAAGTGGTCATCATATGTCCAGAATTAAGACAGTTGATACACAATCCCCTACCTTTAACAGCTTCCAATCTTTTGTTTTGTCTTAATCCCAAAAATCTTTTGCATTGTTTCAACTTGTGTGGGCCCCGATAAATAAGGCAAAGTGGGTTACTATTCGCCGTTGCATCCGTAGCAGCATGCAAAGCGTAACTATTCTTGTACTTACTAGCTTCGTTTTGTATAGGTCTATAATGTGATGAAGATCGCTGATATAATCTCCAATGTGCGAAATCGAGTTTCAAGGAAACTTTTCAATTGTCGCCAAGTTGGTAATTGATTTTCCGCGCTGACGCTCTGTTCCCATAGCTGATGTGTCTCGGTTGGCAGCTTTTGCACGATGAGATAAACTATTATAGGATCCCAGCCCTCCACATCTATTTGTAGATTCTTTAATGCCTGTAAGCATTCTTAGTAGTGTCCAGTAATTTTTTAACTGCTGTAGCTGTCTCCTGATTTACAATACTCGCTTGTTGTCACAATTTCCCTCAACATGTTGAACATAATTATCTTCTGTGACTTGAAAGGCTCTCAACAAATGCTCTAGTTCACCGGAAAGGTGCAATTTGAGGTACTGTAATTTCTGAACCGCTGGAATCATCTCATTATTATGGACCAAAGATTTAAAAAGATCATAGAACGAAGGCCACTTCTGATAATCGCCGTCAAATTTTGCCAAGGTGATTTTTTGGCAAATTTATTGAAATATTGGGAACATCCACCTTTTGGCTTATACTTTGATTTGGGTCCATCTTTAGCTCCGGTGGTCTCTCTGGGAATTTGGTTTTCATTTCAGCTTCTATCATTTGATATTTATGTTGATAAAATGTTTTTATTTCGTTGAGAACGCTATTTTCCAAGTAAGGGTAATTGTCCGCTAATTGAAGCTTAATTAACTTGTCCATCCTATATACTTTCTATAAAAAATAAATAGCAGGTGTGTCACGAAAATATCCTTCTACGTCAATGTAGAAGGAACTAAATACAAAGTAAACGAATACGGGCAATAAAAAAAGAAACGCTTATTATTAATCAACCGCACAATTTTATTCAAGAATTCAGTTGATTTTTATTCTATACAAAGTTTTTATTTTGTAGAAAAGTGTTCCGCTTTTTTTTTTTACAACTTTACTGAAAAATAATCGATACCGTACAGTATTAAATTAATTTTAATTATATTACAATTCACTTATTCATACAAACACTTTCAATCAATTCATTGCACAATTCTTGCATTAAAGTTGTTAACTCATAAATTCGCTTTTTAAAAGTGGAATCCCCGCGCGAAAAACAACGCTTCTATTGTTCGAATTAATAATCTGAAAATATTGTTGAATGTTAGATTAGTAATATGTGCTATCATTAATGATAAAGTTATGTTCCTTTTATTATTTTTTTTGTAATTTGAATTATAATTAATACCGCGTTCAACACAAAATCGCGCAAGGCACTCTTAATGTTAAAATCTTTTTTCTTATTTTTTGTCCAAATAATCTGTTGCCTCAAAAATATAAATAACTATATTCCATCCATCCAAAAAAAAAACAATGTCCACAAATCAATTATAATAGACACCACACAAGCAATCCAACTTTATTAAGAATGGTTGAACAAACATATAATAAAATCGTCAACCAAAATCTCAACAAAAAAGAAGAAAATATTTTTTAAAAAAATTGGAACGGACTTACTTAATTTTCTGTTAGCCAGCCACTTACTCCAGAACAACTTACTCCGCCTATTCCATTGACGCGAAACGCGAACCGATACCGAAACCGTTTTGCACTATCAGCTTCAAAAAAAAATTCACACAAAAACACAATGTTCTCTTCTTATTTTTTTTCTTAATGTTTGTAAATCTTAATATTTTACACTGTTCCTTTGCAACAAAATTTAAATATACATATTATAATAGTTCAATAATATATATACTTTTCTTTTGAGTGTTTTAAGCACCACCTTTTTTTCAAACTTTTACCACTATTAATTGTTTCCTTTTTTTTATATATATATCGCACTACCACCTTTGTCTATGGTCTATTTTAACACCGATTTGTTACACAACACCGTTCTTCATTTAAAGTATGTATATAAGTTAATTTTTCAATAAAAAAAACCAAGTTTTCTAAATTCAAATTTGCCTTTAAAAAATATCCGGCTGGAAGGACCAAAAAATGTTCGCGAATAATTGCTTTCAAGAATTTATATATAACACTTTCAAGAATTTAAATAAAAGATAAGTTTTTCTTTTCCTTTTTTTAGAATTATCAGTTTATATTAGAAAGCACCAAATCAAAAAAAAATATGTACTCTTTTTTTCTTTGAAAAATTTACAAAATAAATATCTATAGGTACATATATATGTATATTATATTTTCCTTTTCTTCAATTTTTTCTTTCTTCAAAAAAATTTCACAACACAGATTTTTACAAATGTTATATATAAGGTTGAAATTATATAATCCAAAAAAATGATCTTTGTTTAACAATACTTTTTTCTTGGTTTAAATTATACAATTCAAAAAATTATTTTTATTTCGACAAAAAATTCATAATTCTAAAGTCGATATGTTGCGGTTAGCGAACTTCTATTAGTAGTGCTTCTTCTGGATGATTCTGTTCCTTTTATAATTTCTGGAACAAGCGGTTGAGCAAACGGTGAAGTTGTTCCTAGCCAGTCCTACTTTTCGGTTGTTAACGTTTTCTTCTTTTCTTTTACATAGATCATATGGTATAGTTCAACGAACCTGTAATGCAATGTATCATTCTTATATACATCGCAAAACATATTGTTGTTGTAAAATTCTACGTTTCTTCTTTTCTATTTTATGCTATTTTCCCCTTCCATTGTCCATTTCATTCACCTTCTATTTCTTTTCTTACTCCATTACACGTCTATCAATAGCTGACTATAACTCTATTGCTGTTGTTTTCTTTTTAGGAAAGGAGAAAAATTAACTATGACGTCATGACGGAACAAATACATTCATATGTACATACATGTGATTGAATAAAAATATTATTTTATTTATGCCCAAACCTTTTCTTTACTTGAAAAATTTATTTCTGTAAGTTTAACCCCAGTTTTGAATATTATCCATTTTATATATGTATGCAGTTTGCAAAAAAAATTAGTTAGGAAGCTTGAAAAATATTCATATATATACATACATTCTTATGTATGTACATACTTATATACTTAAAATTTTTTTGCCAATGTATTATGACAATATTTTTCTGGAAATTTTTTTCAAATTTCTAATACAATATTTATCTATTACACATATTATGTATATTAAAAAAAATAAAATAAAAAAATAAATCAAAATAAAAACAAAATTTAAATATAATCCAGAAAAAGAAAAATAGGACAATGTTCCTGACAAGCATCGATAAAATAGCCTTCTCGTTATCAGACCACACTACCCACTAGGCTACGCAGCACCTTGTATTTACCTTTCCAGTTCTTTATAACTTTTCCAAAACCATCCTATTATACATAAAAACATCATTTCGTCGCAACTAAGCAAATATTAGTTACCAAATAACAGCGTCATTACTATAGTAAAGGTAGATAAAAAAAACAAGGATATGTGGGTTAAAAGGGGAAAAGAAAAAAGGCAAGTAAAATAAAATGACGAGCATAACTTAAAAATAATAAAAGCAACAAAAACATAAAGACTAACAACATACCGACCACCAGACAAAAAAGAGAAAAGAAACAGTAATAACAATATAGAAGAAAGCATTAAGAAAGAAAAGAAAAAAAAATTTATAAGTAAAATCGAGCAGGGAAGACGAGAAAAAAATATTGCTACAAATTTAAATTACACAAAGTATCAAATACCAAAGAATTAGAATTACATTCGCAACATTCTAGCAACCAGCTCATTTCTACCGTAATCAATAGAATGATAGCGAATATTATATAAGTCAACAGGTTTAAGTTTCCTTACGTTATATCGTTAGTTACGTATTAGCTGCCCATTCCAATCAGCTCAAAGCAAAACGTAAAAACTTCTTTTGAACAGATTCATTACGCCAAATGGCCACTACATGAAAGAGCGCCCAAACCTGACAAGCATACTTAAGAATTGACTAAACAAAGGGCACATACAAATGCTTCACAACATTCGGGTCAACAAACTCTCCAGCCTTCTCATTTCAAAGTCCAGCTTCGAATTAGCCTTACCTAGGATCATATTGAAATAAGCACCAAAATCCAATCTGTGATCAAGCATAACCCCAAGATCGCAAAAAAAACGCTCACTTTCTCAAACACCATCCCTTTAAGACAATAACCATGCCAGACAACAGAAAACCCCCTCCTTCGTAAAAAATTCATGACGTTAACTGCAAAGTTATTCGCCCGATACCCCTCAACTATCCAAAACCTTCTTTAACGCTACAAAATCATCCTCTGACCAGACCGACCTCACCATCTTGTAGTCATCGCCAAAACTATAGAGCGGACCCCACAAAAGAGTCAAAGGCATCCTTAGTCGCGACTAGAAAAAGTATGGGATATGAATGACTACCCTGCGGAGCACCCAACACGGGATGTCAACGACCTCTTGTTGACATTGACAACCTCTTGCGATTTCCTCAAAAAGATATATCACTTTTATGCTTATACAGTGGTCGAAGTGGGATACTCAAAGTGGTGGGATGGTAAAAAAAAAAAAAATAAAAAAAAAAAAAGTATTATTTTAGTTACTTTTTAAAAAAATACTTCCAGTAAACTAACGAGAATATTTATATTCAAAATTAAATCAACTAAAAATTGAATCAAAAACTGTGCAAATTGTTACCAAAGAAATGCATAGACTACTATGTAGTAATGAAAATTTCATTAATAGAAAAAAATTATATGTTACTATTTGAAATTGGTCTTATTTAAAATTACATATATTACATATATTTTTTGTTAAAAAAATTTTTAAAATTCATTAGAAAATTTTCTTAAATTTCAAAAAACATGTTCCGGAACGCATTTTTCTCTCCTATTAAGGAGTAGGAAAAATAAACAGTAAATATTAATAACCTCAAATAATTAATATAAATAAAACTACGGCAGGTTAGTCACCTACCTAGTTAAACTCTATGACGCTATGAAACTAGTGCATGAGAAATCATGCACTAGCCCTATGCTCCTTCTAGGAGTGAATAAGGAAAAAAAAAAAAAGTAGTAGGATGGATTTCCAATTATTTAAAAGTACTGGGATGGCATCCCACTCTATCCCGCCTCACTTCGAGCACTGCTTATACATATAAAAATTTCAAGAAAATTTGGATGATTATTGTCTTATCGGGGATTTTCTTAACCTTTTCTGAAGAGAATTTTGATTTTGATTATAAATATATTTAAACATTTGGTTATGGTAATGAATACCTAAATGCTTGCTAATAAACACTATTACTTTTTTTTTAATTTTCTTTGGAAAACGATTTTTTGAGGGGGTATCCTCAGGTTACCAATAAGTCGGTACGCATATTAATTTCTTTTAATATTGCATTTAATTTTTTTTTTATATTTCGAAATATTTTTTTATCAGTTAAACATATAAGTACCTTGCATATTCATTCTTAAACTACAATTTC